ACTGGAGTGAATTTCAAGTTATATTATGATATGAGAAAATACAGGTATAGGACATTCTTCTACCACTATTTGTGTGTGTGTGTGTGTGAATAGAGAGATCTATCTAGCTCTCGAACAGAATAATAACAGTTGTCCCCTCCAAAACGGGCTCTCGAAGGCTGGGAATAGGACTGAGAGGTTCACCATATACTCTTTTTGTGGTTGTTGGACTTTATATCAAAACAATATTTTTGAAAAACAAACAAACAAAAAACCAATGTTTTTGAATAAGATTAATCAATTATAAATTAATAAAAACTAAATGGCTCCACCAAAGCCCTACAGTAAAGAAAACACGAATCACTCAACCCAAAGTAACCCTACTTCCGCTCTTATCTCTTCCTTCCCACTGAGACCATTACATTGCTTTCCGTTCTTTTATGAATTATTGCCATGTTATGTATATTTTATACAATATAGTGAGAGCTACATTTTTTAAATATGGAAGGCTTCACGAATTTGTGCCATCCTTGCGCAGGGGCCATGCTAATCTTCTCTGTATCATTCCAATTTTAGTATGTGTGCTGCCAAAGTGAGCACAAGAGTATGAACATGCATTTTGCTTCTGGAACACCTGGTGATCTTGCACTGCTGACCTTGTGGTTCGCAGCCCAACACTTACGCAAACCACTACACCGTCAGGGATTACAAGAGCTGGATGTTTTTTGATACATGAATTGACCCAATTTTGATGAGGTGAATTGACACAGTGCTCCAACAGTGGGCTCAGACATCACAATTGTGAGGATGATGCAGGGGCAGGACGTTTTGTTACTGTCCGAGTCAGAGTGGACTCGATGGCACCTGACACCAACAGTCCATATCTTTGGAATAGAAACTACTTCTTTATTAGATGAACTTACAGGTTCAGATACAGGTCGCACTGGCCTACCTGTACAATTTTTAGAAGGGAGGCCAGAAATTTTAGAAGGGAGGTGATCCAGGCCAGTCTGCTTCAAGTGGAGAGGGATAGAGGCTTGGCCATGCCTGCAATTGCTTCTTTCCCCCACTCTCCGCAGAGTTCGTTCCAGGAATGGTACACC